TATCAGCTCTCTTAGGGGAGGGCAAAGCAGACTGCACTCGTCTGCCTCACCGATCCATCCCCCTCTGCCCCAAACCATCTCTCCCACAGTGCTGCAGTCCTTTGGGGAAGACAGCAATGTCTCCTTCTTTCCTCCCTTTGTTTCCTCCTTTCTTTAATACCATTTAAGCAACTGAAAACTGAGACGGGGCCAAGCCCGGATAGACTGCACGCAGGTAACCCACGGACCACGCAGTAACCCATCCCCAGGCAGCAATGGGAGCGTTTGCAGGTCTCTCTGTTCCCCCCAAGGACCTTCATCCCACTTGTTCCTGCAGACGTTAATTCCTGATCCCATGTGGGTTTAGCTGAAGCTATTGCTGCCCTCCCCGGCCATTTTAGGGAGCGTAGGGAGTGCCCTAGGCCGTCGCTGCATCCCGGAGGTGCATGGGTTTGCTGCCAAGCCCTATGCACGAGCGTTACCTTGCTAGTGACCGTAGCGTTGGACCCCTTCGCCACTGGAGAGCTGGTTGCTTGCACAAACAAGTAGTCATTGTCCAAGAGAGGCCAGGAGCCCTCCACTCGGCAAGTGTGGAAGTCATCATGGAAAGTGCGGATATGGGGGTCCCCGAAAGCCGCGCAGTGCTGGTAGCTGGGGGGCTGGCCGTGCTTGTAGAGAAAACTCTTCTCATAGTTGCAGATATCGAGAGACTCGAAGCCCTGATGGTTGGGGGCCGGGGGCCGGGGTCGGGGCGGCGATGTGGGACCCTCCTTGGAGCAGTTGTTCTGGATCATGAGGTCCTCGATGCCGTGGACGGCGGAGTGGTAGGCCAGGTCGCCCCGGCACGTGCGAGCTGTCTTGCGGGTGCAGTGGGAGTAGGAGCGGAGGGCGTTGCAGTACGCCGCGTTCCTGTTGGAGCCGCGCAGGTTGAGGGTGGCAGCCACGTACTCCGAGTTGCAGCGCAGGATCTTGCACTGGGAAGAAACTGGGAGAGACGGGACGGCCCGGGGCATCCCAGTAGAGCTGTAGGAGGGGGGAAGGGCAGCCCCTTCTCCTCCCGCCACCTCCCACCATCTGGCCCACTCCAGATCTCATGATGGAGACACTTTTTGGAAGCACTTCTCTCCCTATATTAATGAACGCAGCGGCCAGTTTAAATGACCTGCTTCTTACGTGCCCGAGGGGAACGAATCCGGGGTTGCCTGCTGCAGAAACAGGCTGGAGCCCGGCGCGGAGGGCCGTCACGGGGCCCAAGGGGCGTCCTGAAGCAACTGGGATGTGAGATTGTACCCGGGGCACGAGCACTGCCGAGAGCCAGGGCAGCAGTTGTGACTGTGGCCCTGGGACGTGGCTCAGACGGAGATTCTTCGCCCCGGGGCTTGCCGGGGACAAACGGGAATTCCTGAGCTACGAAACCCCTTCTTCCCACTTCAACCTTGGCCGGGCCGTGCAATCGTTTTTTCGTGCTAGGCTCGACCGCACCAAGGACATCCTGCCCCTCAAATGGGATTTCTCTGTGCTACGGAAGGCAGTGCCATGTGCCACAGCTCCAGGAGAGCTAAGGAACTGGCCCCAGCGGGGATCATTTAGCTCATTAAGCAGAGGGGTTATAAGGGACGGCTGCCCTTGCAGGCTGGGCTGGGTGTTGGGGTGGGTGAATTTGGGTTTTGCAGGATGTGGGGCTCAGCCCTCCTAGCAGATTGTCTGGGTTGCAGGAAGGAAAGTGAGGGACTGAGTGATGGATGTGGCCGGTGCCTTTTCCTGGAAGACCTTGGAATTTGGCTGGTCCCTGTGCCCTGCTGTCGCTGTCTTACCTTGGGAGATAATAGAGCTTTTAAGGGTTCTCCCAAGGGAAACAGCCTGCTGCAGGAGAGCAGGGGGATGCTTTCCTTGCTGAGGCTACCCTGGTAGGGGCAGGTGATGCTGGTGGGAATGCTGCCTGCCCTTCCCTCTGGCTGTGGCGGGCCAAGGGCACACTGATACTGCCTGAGCCTTACGGCTGCGACGAGAGGATCTTCTGCTTGCTCCAGGCACCTCCCAGGAGCTCTGCTGTGGTTGCACCCTCCCTGTACCCTGGGGCTGCAGCTCCCATGGGTATCCTTGCCAGGGATACGGCTCTGCCCATGCAGATCCTTACCATGCCTGCAGAAGAGGAGGAGGAAGAGAGCTCGAAGGAAGAAGCTGGGGTTTTCCTGCTGCCCTGGGCTCTTACTGCAGGCAGGTTTCCCCATTCCAATCCATGCAGAGCCTGGGGGGTTGCTCACCCTCTGGCTTGTCTCCGCTTCATTCAGCAGGTCCCCTAGAAGCAAAGTGGAGGTGGGATCTGAGAGGTGCCAGCAAATGTGAGCTGCTGCAGGTACGGAGCTGCCAGCATCCAGGCAGCTGCCAAACGTGGCCCTGCAGGGCTTGGCTGCACTGCTGCCTCTCGGGGGGAGGCAAGCTTTTGAGCAAAATCCCGGAGGGTTTGGTTTTTTTAACTGCTTTCAATCACTGCGGCTCTCGTCTTCCACCCCGAGGCAGCTGCGCTGTGTAGTTCAGTGTGTCAAAAATTTAAAGCTTCCAGCTGCCCTTGGAGAGGATCGGTGAGCTCCAGGGGCTCAAAGAGACTTCACAGCAGGGCTGCGAGCAGCCGATGAGTGCAGAGAGGACCCAAACTGTCCTACATGTGGGGTGCAGCACGGGCTGCCTCTGGCCTGCTGCTGTCCCCACCAAAACGAAGGTTTGGAGCACAGCATCCAAGGGGATAGGAGTTGAAAAGCCAAATTATAAGTGCGACTGCCATGACGTCCACAGCCAGCACCACCGGGGGATACCAGCACCTCCCGCTCCACCAAAAACCTGCATCCAGGTTCCCTCAAAGCTGGGAGTCGTGCTCTCACGTTCCACCTTTTCCCCCTTGCTTGCGCCAGCTCTGGTTGCTCCCTGGGTGCTGGGGGGGCTCGAGCTGGCTGGAAGGGGAGTGCAAGAAGCTGCATGCATCCAGACAGTGGGCTGCGGCAGGAGGAGGTGCAGCCGCAGGGAAAATTTAACTTCCCTTGTGCTTCGTCAGGGCTGGGGATTTGAGTCCTCGGTGGCTTATTTTAACAGCCGGTTATTAGTCACTTGTTAGTCAAAGGGCCTCTTGCAAAGGTCCTTTTGACACTGCTGCATGTGAAATCAGTATTTTTTTTTCTCCCCTTTAGCTTGTGTGAGGTGCCAGTTGCCAGAGGCTGATGCTCAACGGTGATGTGTCTGTGCCTGGTACCCTCGGCAGCCCAAGGAGTTGATATTACTGACGCTGCGATTGCTAGTAAGTGTAAGCTGCAACCAGGGGGGACGAGAGACTGAATTCTCATCCTTTTCTCAAAAAAAGGAGAAATCACAGTCCTACCAGCTCCGTCTAGCACCTTTCAGCTCCCTTTGTCACGGCTACAGCCGGCCAACAACCGCCGTTAGTTGTACTGGCTGGCACGGTGACGTAGCTGAGTGCTGGCGGCCCCCCGCGTTCCTCTGCCAGCTGGATTAATGGCTAACGGGGCAGATGTCTGGAGCAAAAACATGCTTCAGACCTGCTGGCGATGCTCTGGCTGCCAGCTGCTCTTGGCAGCGAGGACAAGCTGAGCTGATAGAGGGGTGAAAGTGGTCTCTGCAGCCCTGGGGCACGGGGACGCGAGCCCCGGTGCTGGGAATTGGGAACTAGGCTCCTGTTTGGTGTGTGCTGGTGAGCGAGGTACAAGCAGACTGTGCGCTCCGATCCTCCTCCGATGGCCGGCGCTTGCTCTGTCATGTCTCGCCCTCTCTGGCTTGACCCTATTTGACCAGGCTCAGCGCCTTTCTTGGGGCTCACAGGAGCTAGTGACCCCTCGGCACTACCCCCCAAAATCCCCTGGAGGTGGTGACGTGGAGGGGACTTGGCGCAACACTTGGCAGATAAACAGCTGGTTAATGTGTAGCGGAGAAGCGTGGCTCTGGCCGGGGCAAGGAGAGGCCCTGCCGTGGGTCCTGCAGGCAGCAGGACTTTCTTTGGGACGTCCTGACCCCAATGGCATTAGGAGAAAGGCAGTAGCAGCAGTTAGAGATGCTCCGCAAGCCCAAGGTGATGCCACCTGTGAGGGGAGATGGATGGTTTCTGGCTGTGCCAGGCAGGGCAGCAAGAGGGGCTCGGACACCCCAGTCCTCCCTGTTTGGGGTCACCTACATGTGGAACCGGACCCTGGAGCACCCCTGGGTGCCAGTGCCCGTGTCCTGCTCCTCGGACCCTCGTCCCTGCCCTTGCTTTGCTGCAGCCTCACTCACCTGCATCAGCCTCCTCCGGAGACGAGCTGGCTCCCAGTGCAGGGAGCTCCTTCCCTGGTGGACAGACGGGCTGGCTTGTCCTTGTCACCCAGCTCTACCCCAAGTGACAGCCAGAGAGATCCATGGGATGACAGCCGGGAAAATGCCAACCTCAGTCCTGGGCACCTCCATGGCCTCGCAGCCGGATAAAATCCAGGGTGCTGGTGTGGAAAGCCCAGCCGGGGGTGCGGGGAGCGGACCCCGCTGCAGGGCACCGCGGTCCCTGCTCTTCCTCCCCGGCTACCTTTGCTCCGTCCTCTTCCCCCCCCCAGGGCAGAGGATGGGTGTTGAAATAGATCCGCCTAAATTTAGACAGGCTAAACCCCAGCCAAGAACAACAAACGGAGGGGGCAGAGGGAGATGGTGTGTGGCAAGGGGAGGGCGGAGGAGCCCGAGGAGGAGGTGGGAGCCCCCAGACCACCCTAGCTGGGTGGTTCTACTCGGTGGTATGGGGACACGTCACTTGTGGGGTGCAGCACGGGCTGCGGGAGCTGGCTTCCTTGGAGCTACCTGGTTTTCCTTCCTTGGGTGATATTGCAACCCCCCGCCCGCACCCCTGTGGAGCGAGTCCCTGGGGAAAAGCACTGTGCTTTTCCCTGTGGGATGTATCCCTGCAGGGGATACTTTTTCAGCCTTGTCTCTCATAGCTTCCCCCTCCTGGGGCACAGCCGAGTCCTGAACACAAATACGGCACGGGCCAAAGGTGGCCGGTGTCCCCAGGGGTTGATGAACGCCAGGCCACGCCGGCTGGGTTCCCGAACGCCCACCTGCAAGGGCTTGGGTGCAGAGAGCGGCTGCACAAACCCCCATTCCTGCAGGGAGGAGAAATGGTGGGGAAATGTCCCCATCGGGCTTCTCCAGGGGTGGCCTGTCCGTTTAGGATCCCTGGCAGTTACGGCTGGAGGGCAGGGATTGAAAGTAGGTCCCTCAGTGCCCCCAAGCACCCACAAACCCCTTTGGGAACCCGTTCAGAAAAGCCTCCTGCCTCCTAAGCCAAATT